TGGTCGTTTATCAGTTGATTGTTTGATATTTTGTGAAGCTGAAACGTTTAATTCTCCTTTCCCACAAATGTTTTGTTTTACCTGCTTGGCTGCACCTATTGATATAACCTATCTCTTTGGTTGACTCATTGAAATCTAGCCCCTCGTTTGTTTGTTGTCTTTCTCTTTGCTTCTGGAACAATCATAGGATACTGAGGAGCTCAAAGCTGTATTGGAAAAGGAAATTTTGAAATTTAAGGTGAAGTATTCCACATTAATCTTTGTTAATATTTAAAATTCAAGATCTTTCTAGAAAGATAAACATTTTTGTGATGTTTCAGTAGAATGGAATCTCTTCAAGATTAAGGCTGAATGATAAGATGTTTTAATTGATTCATAAAACAAGAATACCTTATCTGGTTACATTCAAGGGAAGACAGCTGTTGGTATTAGTTTTTATCTGCTCTAACGCTGATTGTAATAACCGAGAAATATTGACCCAGAAAAAATTTCAGGATAGCCATTAAAAACAATTATTACAGAATCTGCGCAAGTCTGCTTCTGAACTCTGGTATATCACGTGATAAGCCAACTCCTTTCAACAGCGATGCAATCTACTTTATTTGTTATAGCCAAACAAATTCATATATCAAGGTCAATCTATACATTCTGATGACTTTCCCCTGAATCCGTTGTACTTGTGACTAATATAGATCGTACTGATGTACGTGATTGATTATTCTATTATGCATGGTTCGATATATTACTTCCATAATGTTTCAAATCACTACTAAAACTCATTTGTTAGTTTGTTTCGCTGTAGAATACATGTTTTCTGTTACAAGGCCATGGTCAGAGATCTGCCTTTATTTTTCATTTCTCTTTGGATTTCAACATTCTGAGATATGGAATATGTTGTTGGCCCAACAGGAGCAATATATGTCAAAACAGGACACACATTATGCTGCCAATGACGATCATCAGGAAAGAATGGAACCCTTTCCTCCTTGCATAGAAATACCGTCTGATGGAACTGATGTCTGGGAAATTAATACCAACCTATTGAAATTTGAAAACAAAGTTGGCTCTGGATCATTCGGTGACTTGTGAGTTATCTCTTGTGAAATCCATTGGACCCCTAAGTAGCTTCTCGGCTGATCTTTCTTTTCCTTTTTCCTTGATTTTCCTTAGGTACAAAGGCACATATTGCAGTCAAATTGTGGCTATCAAAGTCCTCAAACCTGAGCGCACAAATACAGATATGTTGAGAGAGTTTGCACAAGAAGTTTATATCATGAGGTTTATTAACATACCTGAATGTGATTCATAGAAATATAGTTCCTCGTGACTGACTCCTTTTCTTCCTTTCCTTAATTAATTTCTTTGATAATGATTTCTATCCAGTAATTTAACTGATAATTAACTGATAATCTTGGAAGGAGAAAGATGGATTTGATTCTTGGATATCAATGATGTTGGTATAAATTTCAGGAGCATCTTACCCCATATGGAAGATTTACTCCTTTCTTCCAACTCCCTGACATCAAAATGAGGCTCCTAGGAAACGAATGCTTTTTTCACTCTCCTTTCTCTCACGTACACATTGTCTAAAATTGCCTTTAACTTTAATTAAGTTATATTATTTACTTTTATTCTAACTAAGGATCATTTGCTATTTTGTTGTTTTTGGATAATGCCTCTGAATTTAGGATAATTGTTCTATTTTAAGAGTATGTTAACTGGATAACTGTTTAGTTTGTTATCGAGGCCCCCCTCGTTTTGTATAAATTGGAGATGGTGGTACAAACATATTGTGGGAATCAATTGAATACTAATGTGTATTTAATTTTACCCTGCATCAGTTAATTAATTTAGATTAGGATAAATTAATTTAAACATTTTTTTTAGACAGGATGAGCACTTAGTTAAAATCTTAGGCATCTTTCTGCTGTCACGTATAAATATGTACCTTTCATCTAATATCAATAAGTTCAGATAAAATTTGAATCCTTAATATATTCATAGTATGAGAACCCCTCTAAAATTAAGGAAAAAAATTGGCCAAAAAATATGGCTTCCCACTTCGAGAAGGTAAAAGCTTCTCATAAAGTTTATGCACTTGTTAGCAAACCTGTGTCTTCTCGAATGTTCAGAAGCAGAGCTTCCTGAAGCCGCCCCCCCCCCCCAAAAAAAAAATCAAGAAGAAGAAGAAGCAGGGCTTCCTATTTTGCTGTCACGAACAATTAAAAGGAAATCGTGCACCCACTTCTGTCCAGGATACAATCTGGCTACACAAACCAGTAAAATTAAAGCTGCTGCACAGACTAGTGAAAATTAAATCTCTGCATAAACCGTCAAAACCATCTGTCCAAGTTGTCCTTTATGATAGGGAATTTAATGAGAATTCTTATAAGTGTCGATATGGCATCCTTACAAGTTTGGACTGAGAATTCTTCCTTTGTCTATGATAACTTGCTTTGCAGGAAGATTCGACACAGGAATGTTGTGCAATTCATTGGAGCATGTACTCGACCACCAACTCTGTGTATTGTTACTGGTAAATAACAGAGATCCGTGAGAACTTATGATGCCATGTTTCATATTGTTAGCTTTTATCAACAAAAATATTTGTAGGAATATCAAGTTCTATTGTTTATGCGTGAAGATATATTACTTCCAAAAATATGAATAAAATCTTTAGTTAAATGATCATGATATGTCATGTTATCTTATTTCTAAGATGATTTGGCTTCCACTTTCAGTCATCTCATGATTCCAGTTTGAATCTTTGCTTATGTGTATGCCTTCATCAGAGTTTATGTCTAGAGGAAGCCTATATGACTTTCTGCACAAACAAAGAGGTGTATTTAAGCTTCCATCTTTGCTAAAAGTGGCAATTGATGTTTCCAAGGGAATGAGTTATTTGCACCAAAATAATATCATACACAGGGATCTCAAGACTGCCAATCTGCTGATGGATGAAAATGAAGTAAGAGGACTCCTCGAATTTGCTCACATTGATTACCTGTTTCGTTTCATCATTTGGTCAGCCTATGTCTCGCCACTCTCTTTATAGCGTGGTTTGTGAGGACTTCCCTGGGAATGAAGATTGTATTGGTCTTTTGTTTCCGGTTTCAAGCAAATCTTTCATGTGCAATTAAATATCTAATGTCTTTTTTTTTACTGGTATAATTATAATGAATATATTATCCTTTTCTCGATCTTTGCATCGAAAATTGGTCGTAGAATTTCCCTAAATAAATGCAAAACTGAGTGGCAGTGTGGTTATACATTTGTTGAGTTCATAAAGCTGAGGTAAAACTGATTTTTTTTTTGGGGGGGGGGGGGACAGAATTAGGGTTACGTTACATTAATTTCAAGATAATTGAAATTTTGAAATAAAAATTGTTTTGTTAGGATTTCTCGATTATCTTTTCCTCTCCAACATGATTATTTCATCCGTACTTAAATATCATATTCTTCTTCAATAGGTGGTGAAGGTAGCGGATTTGGAGTTGCCAGAGTGAAGATAGAATCTGGAGTGATGACAGCTGAAACTGGAACTTACCGTTGGATGGCCCCAGAGGTATGGATTTTCTTCGAATCACGTTACTGCTTGATTTGTTTTTGGGTGACATTTATGGCAGAAGAATGTGGTATCCTTGTTTGTCTATAATACACGCTGTTCAACACGCGAGTCATTTGAGTTTCATAAATAATCGGAAATCTATTTGTAAGATACAAGATCACAAGATATATGATACATTCATTTGTTTTTATTTTAAATAATACGTAGAATATCCATCTCATGCTTAATTTTTTTGTGTGCGCACGTGCGTGTTAAGTTCTCAAGAAATCAGGATGGCTACTTATCAGTATGTAAAACGGGCAAAATAGAAAGGGCAGGAAAAATTAGATAACATATGCTCGTTAGCTCGTTGTGCGTGATTGCATGGCTGTCTAGTGGATTCTCCCAGAAATATCAATCATTATAAGTTTTAATCTATAATTATTTATACACCTTAAAGAGTGCAAATCATTTCTCGAATTTTCCCCTTGCATCGGCCCGACATCTAAGTCTTCTACAATCAGTTGTCCTGCCAGAAGGCAAGTCTTTCAGGGAGAGATTATGAAAAAGAAATGTAGAAAACAAAATGGCAAAAGCAGAGAACCCAGCAACCCAGGCTAGGCTCTCCAAGATGTTGCATTGCAGGTACCTCTTACCCGTCCTCTGGTCCCACATTAACCTATTCCCTCACGATATGATGTCTCCATTCTCTTTCTTCTCTATTGGCCGTATACAGTACAAGGGTGTTAGTTTCCTGCCCGTCATTAATGGGCCATCTCCACTTTTCTTGCCCCTTCTTGAGTAGGTCGGTAGCAAAGGCCCGTTTCCATTATTATCAGATTTTGCAACCCCGGTCGTCACACTTTACATAGCATTATATGACGAGTGGGCATATCGCATAGCGACATAAAATTCACCCTAGTTGGTGGTATTTTGTGGGTTTAATGCCACTTTCTAAACCTTATATGATTTTCAGAACTTTTAAATTGATCTGTCCTTTTTTCCTTTTCTTCAATTGTCTGATTTGATTATAAATTCCACTTTGTGATACTCCAAACCCCTTCGCATTGATTTGGTTTTTACTTGAAGGTCATTGAACACAAACCTTATGATCAGAAAGCAGATGTCTTCAGTTTTGGAATAACTCTTTGGGAGCTTCTAACCGGAGAAGTATGTCCTTTCCATTTTTCTCATCTCAAACAGCGGTCGTGGATTTTAGTTTTACTCTAATCATGTTGACTACTTTTTATGACCAGCTGCCTTACTCTTACCTGACTCCATTACAAGCAGCAGTAGGCGTGGTGCAAAAGGTTTTCATTCTGTTCTCCTAATAGATCATCTTACAGAATCAGTTTTCTTATCTATGCATGATGATTCTGCGTTTATCATTGCAATTAGGGTCTAAGACCGACAATCCCCAGGAGCATACACCCAAGACTTTCTGAACTTCTCCAACGTTGCTGGCAACAAGATCCAAAAGATAGACCAGAATTCTCCGAGATAATAGAGATTCTTCAGCTGATAGTTAAAGAGGTAAAACACTACTCACAACCGTAAAAATAGCTGAACGAAGTCTAAAATTTTATATGATATGTTTCTCACAGGTTACTGGTGAAAAAGCCGATCGCCATAAATCATCCCACGGCTTTCTCTCAGCACTTAAATGGGGCCATCACTGATTTGGATCTATCACGACTGTATATCCTTGTATTCTCTTATGCTCTGGTTTATCCCTCTAAGGTGCCTTCTTGTTTAATTTCTAGTTAATTCGGGCCCTGCCCTCTTTTGTATCCAAAAAATAATAATAATAATTTTAACACACTATACAAATGAAAAGTTAATCGAATTATCATTTCCTTGCATTAGGGAGGTGGATGATGATAGATTTGGAAATGCACATTAGAAACATTGTTGTTCGTTCCATTTTTTGAATGATAGTTGCAATTTCTATTCCGAAAAACAAAGGTTAACCGAGTTGTTTTTTTATTTTTCTGGTACAAATGAAAAGTTGTTTTAATTTCTTTTTCCAACAAAATATTGGATATTAGGTTAACAATCACGAAGTTTTGGACTTGCAGGAGATGCATCTAGGAGGCGGCAAAGTCTTACTTCTCCCGTTTTTCCTTTTTTTTTTTTTTTTTTTTGCCAGCTGCGGCAAAGGCTACCTAAACAAGCCGAAGCCTATTTCCGAGTGTCGAAAACTGGTCTAACTCTTACATCTAGGTGGCCCAAACTAATTGTTTTAGCCCAAAAGAAATGGGCGAAAAGAATATGTGAAGCCCAATACCTTGGTCCAACATGAACGTTTGGGGGCTAGATCGTCAGCGGATGGGTTTTCCTTTTTCTTGGGGGAAAAAAATAGATAGCTCGGAAAAAACACCACGAAGAGGTTTTTTTTTTGGGTTTTTTTCCCCGGGGGGGTGGAAGGGCGGAGTGACGAGAAAAGGAAGGATTTCGTTTAAAAACAAAAAACAAATGGAAGAAGCAACAAGTGTTGGTCCCAGTGAAAGGGACTTAAGCTCTTTAAACATATGTCTTGGATTTGATTCTTGGAGCGGTATATATGGAAAAAACACTGTTGGGAAGGATTCCCACTACGACGCCTGATAGTACTCCGAGAGATTAATCTTTTACCGTTCGATGAGAGAACACTCTGGGCAACCAAAAAAAAAAAAAATGGAAGACAAATATTTATCATGGTCACGTCTACATGCCTTAGCAACGCGCGCGCGCACACAGAGTCAAGCCCAGCTGAAATGGATTTGAGGGTTCTACGCATCTCTAATTCCTATTGTCTCAGGCCTGGGTTGGGCACGTCTGATTCATTCTTGCCCCCCCAATGTCTAAGACGAGGACGACCTCTACAACACATCAGAAGTACTATTTGGAACTGAAAATAATCAAGGCACTTTATTTATTATTATCAACAAAGATATACATTACCATAATGTTTTTCCTTCTTCGTTTACCATGATTTTTTTTCTTCTTCGTCGCGATTCCAGTATCAAAGTTGTTAATAACTTAAGGAAGTGTTTGAATCACAAATTCATGGAACTCCCAGCAAGAAACCTAATTCTATACAGTTTAAAAGTTGTAAGTCCCGCCTTGGCACTTCACTGTTCTGTTGGAAGTCCATTTTGAGTCCAAGCAGCGAATCCACCAGCTATGTCTGTAATTCCAGAAAATCCCTGCACAAAGGGAAAAAAATTCCAATCACCGAAAGTTACTCTGTAATTTTTAATCATCAGGATTGTAACTTGTAATTGGAATTGGTAATAAGTATGTATTAAATTCTGAACGATGCCCCTGTGCGGAAAACAAAATTTGATTCTGACATTCCACCAAATTCAACTACAACCAAACAATGAGGCTTGCCCAAATTGCAGGTTATGGTGTTGAAGAAGGAACTTACAGCAACTAACAAGTCAGTAGCAGCCATCATGGACCTTTTACCAAGTTGACAACCCTGTAAAAAAACAGTATCAACATCAGAAACAATCTTTTCAAAACACGAATATAGCATACAGAGTCCAAACGCAGCAAATGAAAATTTATAAACGCATCAAATGAAAATTTAAGAGATTGTACACTCACAACAATAATCTCATCATCTTTTCTAAAATGTGATGAGACTTCTGCAACAAAATTGGCATTCTTTGTCATACCTGCATAAATGCCATAAAATCCATATTAGGATAATTGAAGAATTAATATTCGGAGAAAACATTTTCCTGTGATGAGGAAACTCTGGTAAGGGACCATATTCTTCAATTAATATTCGGAGAAAACATTTTCCTGTGATGAGGAAACTCTGGTAAGGTACCATATTCATCCTAAGGCTTAGAATTAAGGCAGGACACATTGTCAGGACTTGTATTTTTGCATCATTTACTAAGCGAAATGAGCTTATTCTACCTCACATGGAACGCAGGCAAGAAAAAGTATCCCACATTCCCTTACAACCAGATCACATATTTCGAATATTATCTAAAGAAATATTCAAACTAGAGAATCAGTTGGCAACAACAGCCAGTAATCAATGACCAATAAGCACAGTGACAGAGGAATCTAATTCTAGATAACTTGCTCTTGGATATTATACTTATGCCGAAAGAAGAAAATAAACAAATAAACTAACTATAAATGGAGTGCGAGAACTTCGACATCGGGAATAATCTAAAACAGAGTGGCTACTGTCGCTACCGAACCTCCAAATTAATTTTTAGCATTTTTCACTTCAAAAAAGAGGTGTAGCACAGAATTTCTTCCGTGCCATGCATTCACTGTAATTGCTCTCTTAGAGAGAAATCAAGAGAACCTGATCCAACTCTGTACATGTATGGTACGTTAATTGCGCCTGGAGCGTGTCCTGCGTTGAATTCTTCGGGAGTTCTACAAGCAAGCAAGCAAGGAACGACGAGTGATTTCGAATTGAATCGGAACTCTCTGGAAACGTCAATTCCCCCAAAAAAAAAAATTACTGAACATGCGCTACGGATGAGTTTTATCTAACCTCACATCCAAATAGCGATGTCCAGCAAGAAGCAGCTCATGGGCTACACGCACTGGCACCGACGTCGGAACTCCGACGGTCTCCAAATTCCCGTTCAGAGCAGCTTTCGTGCTTGAGAATTCAAAGGAACACGAAAATAAAATTCAATCTAACAGAAAGAAAATGCAACAATTCAATTCGATTCCCGTTCAGTATACGCACCAGTAGTTTGGAAAGTTGGCTTTAACAACACTAACGCTCCGCGCCTGACGAGACTTCAACGGTTTCAGAAATGAAATTCTGCATGCAATTAATCACGAACATCAAGAAGAGAAAACAGAAACAGAAACACGTAACGTAGAATAATATCACAATTGAGTGAATTAAGTAACCTTGGAGCATGATCCAGCTTGGCGGAGCGGAGAGGAGGAGAGAGGAGGAAGCCGGAGATACGAATCGACGTCGTCATCATGGTTTTGTGATGGTGGTGTTTCAGAGAGCTTGAGAATGAAAGGGAAGTGGAAACGAATGGTTTTCAATTGCCAAGCGGAAAGTGAGAACGAGAACAGAGCACGGTAGCGGCCAAGAAGTGGGCTCGTCTTTTTTATACACTACTTACGAAGATGAGAGCGCGAAGGAGCGAGCGGCGTGCTTCGCTAATGGATTAATGCCACGTCATCAGCAGGTGTACTGATCACGTTCTTTATCTTTTAATCGGGCCTTTTAATTTGTTTGTTTTTGGGCCAATTAATACAATGTTTGAGATAGAAATGTTTGAAAATACTATAACAAAATAGAGTAGAAATTGAAATAATGTAAAAATTATAAATATTTTTTTGGCCAAAAGTAAAAAATTATAAATATGAAAATACATATTCTAGTCCTAAAATATTTTTAAAATATTACATAGTTTTTAAATTTAGAAGAAATAATTCCTTAGGCCAGATCAGAAGGTAGTGGTGATGCATTGGATATGACGTGAAGTTTTTGTATGGATAAGCCCAGTTTCAAATTCCAAGAAATAATAACAAATGTGGGTCCGCGGCCCCCGCACCTCAGAGGCTCAGACCAATTCAGTGGTGATCGCCTGCTACGAACCCTGGCGATTTGCCACTGACAGTCGTGGATAACTCTTCCTACTTCTTGTCCACGTGGCAAGATTTGTTCCGCCTGCTTGGCCACGCCTTGACATTTTCTTAAGGGTACTGGCATGGCTTTGGAGAGATAACCATCTAAACACTTTCATTAAAACCCCAATAATTGATTATTATATCAATATCACGGTTTAAAAGCTAAAGCCATGATTTTTCAAGAAGCCAATTTTTCTATTTTTTGAGAGAAAACCCATGATTCTATCAAAACATATGTACATATTAATTATTAATTCATTATGTAAATAATAAATTTGCCTTTCTTATGGATGCTTCTTATTTATATATTTTTTTAGTAATTTACACGTGAAAAAGTCCCATTAAATCATTCATCTTTCTGAGAGCAGAGAGGGAGAGAGATCAAATGCAATGAAACATGGAAGTATTAAACTTGTTTTTCATATTTCAAGCCCATTCTTTAATGCATCATGGGCAGAAGATTGGGCCATGAAATGGGCCTTTCTCCTGAAAGTGACATCAAATAATCCCTCTTTCTGAGATTGCATAGTTTTTGTGAGGAAGATGAACGAGGACATAAATATGACTATGAGAACGTAGGTGGAAAAATGTGGCTCGAGAAATGACGTACTCCTCCTGTCCTTAAATAGGACATAATTATTGAGTGATTTTAGTTTTAAATATAAGATCCATTTATCATATTTACTATTTTTTCTAAATTACCCTATAGATATTCCCTCAACCATAATCAAGTAAAAGAGGGAGAGGAGGTATTAAGAAAGATGATTATGGTGTTTTAGGAAAAATGTATCACATTTCTTATAATTAACTAACTTACCTGATTTCCTTAATATAATCAAATTAGTTAAATGAATATTATATTAAGGACTAGAGGAGTACCAATTTTTAAACAAACGTCAGATCAAACCATTCAAATCTATGTATCATTGGGAAAATTATATTACTATCTCAAACTCTTAATATAAAATTAGTTTGATTTTTAATTTAGTATAATATCTTAATTTAATTTATTTTTTTTAAGGGTTTTATAGTAGTTACACGTGATAAATATTTCATCAAATATTAAAACTAATATACTTAATTAGTAGAGGTATTTTAGATAATACAGTATCTAATTATTACAAATAAACAACTTAATAAATTTTTTAATCTACTTAAATTGTCAATTAATTTTTATATTAATAACAAGAAGTAATACCTCTCTGCTTTTGCAAACATTTTGTTCCGAATTCATCAGTCTTGACTGATGAAAAGCTTTTCATCCTTTTTAGATTCTTTTTTTTTTTTTGTTAGGCTTTACAAATCACCCAAAAGCATGAACATTATTTTTCCATTTGGTTTTAAAATTTAAAATCGTGGTCAGTGATATGAACAATACTTTTTCCATTTGGTTTTAAAATCGTGGTCAATGATGAGGACCGCGATGGCACAACAAACTCGCCATTGAATTCTGGCATGATTGAGATTATCTGACATTTCTTTCTTTATTTTTTTCTATTTTCCTCGTTTCAAAGGAACTTCACATTTTTTTCTCCTTTTTCTTTGCTCTGTGGAATAAAAGAATATGGATTGATTTTAGAAAATGTGAACTTCACCTATCAAGTGATCAAGCTCAAACATAACAACAAGGTTTCTTTTTTTTTTTTTAAGTATTAGGCTGCATAATAACCTTAACCAGTAATATTCTCATATAATCGTTAGACCTTTTTTATTGGTTATATTCTGAAACATGCTACTACCTCCGGTCTTTAATACTATTATAAGAACTTATTTAACTTTTAATTTGATTCTAAATATAAAACCTCAATCCACTTTATCTTTCATATTTATGTATTTTTTTCTAAGATAATCCTTCTAATAATAATAATTCTAACCAATACACTTGATTAGTAAGGATATTTTAGGAAAGTCAATACCTATTTATTGCAAATAACTAATTTAACTTATTTTCTTAATCTATTTAAATTAGTCAACTAGTTTTTTATATTTACAACTCGAGATAGTATTACACTTTGTATTACTTTATGAACCCAACTAATTAGACTAAACTAAGATCCTACTTAGAATGATTATAATCAATTTTTTATTTTGATTTACAAAATATAAAATAAATATATAACAAAAGTTTTATCTCAAGTTATATAAAAAATTCTTATAAGTGATTTCAATTTTAATAACAAATAGGGCCCAATTATTTTTATTTGTATTTAATTCAAATTACAACAGGACACGCATAGGAATATGCCCCTGTGACCCGATATCTCGGTCAAAACCCGGAACCGTGGTTCTGCGACCCCTGGGGCAACATGAATTTCTTGTTATATAAACTTTTTAATTATATAAAAATCGGTGGCCAATTTTTTTCCCATTAAAATCATTTAAATTTTTAATTTACTAGAAACATATAAATTTAACATGATTTTTGTGTGAGAAAATCATAAATTTTCGCTCAACTTTAATTTAATCCTTATTGCTATATCTTATCAATATCTCACTACATTTACGGGTTTACTCCACTTTATTTTTTATATATTTAATCATCCTGATGTTGATAAATCATACATATTTACAGTATTAAGATATTACCATTATATAATCATTATCATCAACAAACTTATCTAAATCTTATCGAATCTAACCATGGTGCCTAAATTAATATTTTTATAAATTACGACATTTAATAACTAGTTATATAATAAAATTGGCATATAAAATTGAAATTGAATGAAATTATCATGGACAAAATTATTATTTCCAATTTTGTTGAAATGTATATAATTATTATAATTTTAATAAAATTAAATTAAAGCATGATTATTTTTATTCTATTTAAGATGAAGATATCCGTTCTCATCGTCTTCAATTTTCCACTTTTACACGCAAATCCCATTCCATAACATCCCGCGACCCAATTTTATTCTGTTGCCGTCAATTCCCAGAACTGAAGAAGAACTCTGATGAACAAAAGAATGAGTGATAACATATCCGAGATCGAGAAACTAGAGTTACTTCACAAATCGCAGGTCTTCAAGATCAGAGGCAGAGACAAGCAAGGCCGCAAGATCCTTCGCATCATCGGCAAGTTTTTCCCTGGTAAATTCACTCACCCAGTCATCGTTCTTTGTATTCTTCACAATCATTCGATCATATCTTTCGTTTTTCTCTCCGTGGCAATTTTCTTGATCGATTTCCTTGCGTGCCAGCTCGGCTGGTGAGCGTTGACCTTCTAAGAAGGTACTTAGAGGAGAGGATTTTCCCGAAACTGGAGAAGAAGAAATTCTCGGTGTTATATGTTCATACCGGCGTTCAGCGGAGCGAGAATTTTCCAGGAATATCGGCCTTGAGATCAATCTACGATGCGATTCCGTTGAATGCAAAGGAAAATTTGGAGGCCGTGTATTTTGTGCACCCAGGCCTCCAGGCGCGGCTTTTCCTCGCCACGTTTGGCCGTTTTCTCTTCAATGCTGGGTAAGGCTTCAGGTTTTCAAACGCTTTTCAGTTTGGCGCAATTTAGTTTTGATACAATCAGATTTGCTAATATAAGCATTTATGGTTGGTTAGCGTTTAGTCGTCTAACAACAAATTGGATCTTCTGCTTTCTCTCCCTTTCTTGGAGGGGACAAATTAGCTAAATTCAGGATTTAAAAAATATTCTAATCCAAAGAATCCAACATGAAGGGAAAAAAAAGGAATTAGTAAAGCGGAAAGCAGAGAGAATAATTAAAAATGTTAGACATTCTGTCAAGAGGTTTTATTTGGGTGTGGTAGGTTGTACGGGAAGGTAAGGTACGTGAGCAGGCTGGCCTATCTGTGGGAAAATGTCAAGAGGAATGAGGTGGAAATACCAGAGTTTGTGTACGATCACGATGAAGACTTGGAATATAGGCCCCTGATGGATTATGGATTGGAGAGCGATCACGCCAGGGTGTGCCATCCATCGTCCATTGAATCCCCTATCTCCACCTACTCCATGAGGTGCATCTCATAGGATCATTCCCCCTTCCCACTCTTCGCTTGCAGAGCACAAAAACGAAGGAGGAGAAACTAAGAACAGCTCAGACAGATAGAACCTTTTTTTTTTTTTGGTTGGCGTTTGAACTAAAATTTCGTCATGTATATTGCATATGAAAGGCTTTTTTTTTTGTATCACTTAAAGTTTTATGTCCATTTTAAATTTTTAGCTGATTCCCCTGTACTCCTGTGAATAGATATTTTGGAATTAATATCATATATTAAGTTGTATTTTATTGTTCAGAGACCAATCTAATTTCAATAAAAGGCCATGACTCACATAGTTAATTTCTCATTGGACTTAATTTAAATGTGTTAAGTTTAATAATCGAGTGACAGCTTAATATATGATTAGAAAGTTTCAACATTCAACATTCTCCAATTTGGATAAAAGAATGTTACTCTGCTTTTGTAGAGCCACACGCGTTTGACAATAACACCTCAGGCACGCATCTTAAAAAGGTTCCCAAGATGATACGATAAATAACATCGTCACACGTACTGCGTCATTATCAATATAATTGGGGTTGCACGCTCCGCAAACCATTTAACTTATATTATCACGAATCATAAGTTTGGAAACAAGATAACAGATAGCTTACAACATATTTTTATAATACATTATTTTTTGCATGTAATTTGTTTAATTTCTCAACATTCTTTATACCCAAGAAATTACGAGCATGAATATCTCAAGTATTTTTATCTTAGTAATTTTGAAAAGTGTTTAACACAGATAGGATCACATTTCAATAAATGTTTGTTTATTTCAACATTTTAACGATGGTCCATTGAAAAAAAAAATACTTTCTCTGACCTCTTTTTTATAAGAACTTCGTATAAAGCTTAGCAATGAGTAGTCAATCGAAATGTATTAATCGGTTTTTTGTTTTTTTACGCACAACAGGCTCTCCCGCCCACTAAAGATGAACACATTTTCTAATTAAAATTCATGACTGCAGATAGAAAATAGAAATAATGCCAGGTTGGGCCCACTTGTCAGCTACTGGATCCAGGTAATTGTATCGTCCAGATGCTTGACGTTGAATGATCCCTCCTTCCTATTGCCTGCACTTTCATTTTTCTAACCATAGCCAAAGCACAAATGCTGCAACCTACCACCGCAGCACAGTCGGATTGGACATCCCCCAGTATGCAAAAACGTCGTGAATCAGCAGGTCCCCAGTGCTCATGAATTGGACAGACTCACCATAACGACCGTTTAATTGGTTCAATTCAATCATCATTTGTTTCATATACTAGCATATATAACTCGTTAGTTTTGGTCCACATTTTATATATATTTATGTATATTGGTGATATATAAGCTAAGGAACAGTGTTTTAAGAGACTAAACATGTGGAACAAGTAATAAAGAATCAAGTTATATGAAAAGGGACTATATTCTACCTGTATGAGTCAAATATTGTAATGTGCTTAGATTCTGATCCAGGAAGGGGGAGGCCAAAACGGTTTTGAACTACGAGGATCAAGTTTAGAGGTCATGTTGCCGCCATCACCCAGGTTGTACACTCGAACATCAAAAATATCAGTAAAGAAAATACACTTTCCTGCATACCCAGCAAAATCATTGGCAGAAACCGACAAGTTGCTGCTATTTCCCAATATAAACACTCTGTCTTCCAAATCCTTCACAGCCACCCATTTGCCCCACTCTTCATCCAACCTATAAACCTTAAAATCCACAACCGAAGCTTCGTCATCTGGCCTCGTGCGTTCACTGCCATAGTGCCTATCAACAATATAAAGATTCCCACAAGATTCAACCAAATGCTTCTTGTGTCCAAACCACACAAGGGAGGCGAATATTGAATCAGCTTCAACGAGGATGTGTCGATCCATGATACGGTACCCCCCCCCCCCCAATCTGTCACATAAAGCTGACCTTTGTACACAATAACATCACCATAGTAATAATTCTTACCATCCACGAGCGTCCATTTGTTGTCTCCATGTTTGAACAACGCCAACTTACCCTCCTGATAGATACAGCAGGCCACAGAATCCTTTACGTCAGACCAACACGAGGTCGGGAAGAACACGACTTTCTTTATAGGAAATCCGAACCGCTGGAGGCTATATGATTTGTATAACTCCACCGCCCGATAGTCCAGCAGGTTCAATGTTCTCCGAGGAGAGCGGCGTGGTTTCGGGATTTTTTGGTCGGAAAGTGGGTTTAGGAGACGAAGAGCATGAGGTTGTGAGGGATTTGATTTTCCTACTTTAATTAACCAGCCTTTGGGAGAAGAAGGTGAGGGTTGGTGGGGTGGTTCGATTCGATAAATAGTGGACTGAGAGAGAAAAACGAACTTGGAGGGATTGCTGGGATGGGGGATTCGGAGAGGGAATAAAGAAGGAGAGTTAGAGAGAGAGGGAGGTATTGAGGATCGCCATGACTTGCAGACGCTACGAAATCGGACAAGGTCGATGTGATTGTGGAGAGATTTGCAGATCTGGGGCCAGAGTTCCGACGGAAGATCGCACCAATTTGACTCCGATACGCTCTTGAGTTGACTCTCCATGGACATTTGTCGTTCCAACACAGAAGCTCACAAGGATTCCAGCTACTACCATGTTTCGGAAATTACACAGGTTTTTTTTTAAAAAAAAAACAGCCTTAAACGCTAAGTTAGTGGCATCAATAATTTTTTTCTCAATAAAAAGCAGCGAGTTTGATTCCATAATAAATAAAAAGTGGATGTTAAGTCAATGGCATAATAGCATAAAAACTCATCTCGTCTTTAATCTTGTATCGTCAGTGAGCGTGCCTTTAAATTTAAAAAGAAACGCATATATTTGATCAAAAGAGCAAGTTGACGATAAAAATCAACAACACTTCGACACCTGGGCAGCGGATGAATGTGCGAAGGGGGAGACAGCCAACACGTGCGCCTCCTCTCTCTCGATCCCCACTTTGTTGCCGGAATTAATGTTAGCCACCTCATGTAAATGTGTTTTATTGAATACAATGTTGCAGTTTGTTAAACTTTTAGACAGAGAATTGAAATTAAATTTTTTATTAAAAGAGGTGTTTATATTTAATTCGAAAAAAAAAATCTCTCTTTTTGTGCCCCCGTGTCTTAATTTTTCTCTTCCCCCCACATTTATCCTTCCACTCTTCGTTTCTTCTGCCCCATCCTTTCTTCTTTCCACTTCTTCTCTCACCCCCGTCCTCTCTCTTCTCTTGATCTTTTTTAATTTCTCCACTCCATTCTTCTTCACCTTTCTCTCTCTTCCTCCACTCTGTTTTATTTGCTGGCAAATTCACATTCTATGAATTCTCAGCGTTTTGATTTAATATTCATGTCAACAAGCATACCTTTAATTTTTTTTCCAGATTATTTCACCTCATATATATATAGACAATGCTGCAATTAAATGGACATGTCACATAATTATTTTATTTATGTATATATGTAAAAGCATCTTCAACATGAGATATTGTAAATAACAAAAAATGTCAGAATGAGATCACATCCATTCCATCTTATCTGAAAGCTCTTCAAATGAAAAAACAAAAGCTAAAAAACAAGGTTTTTTTATGCCAACGGCATTATAAGTTAACCTAATAGAAGTAGACTCCCCGTATCGCTCCATTTTCTTTTTTTGGTTATTTTAGTAAAGGTTTGCTCTAATATTCTTCAGAAATATTTAAACTTATGTTATCGATCATGAGTTCGGAAACGTGACAAGAGATGGCTCGTAAAATGTAATCAATAATACAATAATATTTTTTATTTGTACTTTTGTTTTTTTTTTTGGGTCAGAAATTTGTAGTTTGTTTAATTTCTCAACATTTTTCTACTCAGAATTGAACTTAAAATGAGCACGGACATCCCAAATATTTTAATCTTCATAACATTTAAAGTTGTTTGATAGAGACAGAGACACATTTTAATAAATATTCATTTCAATATTTTAATGATATGGTTGATAGGAAAAAAAATCCCTGACCCGTCCATCTTATAACAAACTTTTAAAAAGCTTACTACAGTTTGCTCTCTTCTTTTGTTAGCAAAAAAAGTTTGCTGTTTTGCCTTTGAATATTCCTATTTATTGGTACTGAAAAATACAAAAGACCTTGGAATTGCAAAATAGCTTGGGTTTGACAACTTCAGGGCATATTATGTCAAAGTGAAGTCAAGGGTTATCTGCGTTTTACAATTCGAAAGTCAATTTCAAAAAAATAGCTATACATTGAGTAGATGGAAAGAGATTATCAATAAGAAGTAAATCAAAACATATTCGGCAGTTTAACTGCCGACCGAAAAATAAAAATAATGTCACGCTGCGGCTTTTTTTTTTTTTTAGACAATTTGACTTTTTTGTTTTTTTGGTTAAGTATAAGAGACAATCCTATTTAAAAAATTAAGAGGATAATAAACAGAGCACCTTTCTCTCTCGATGGGGATTCATGAGAGGTGCCCCTTTTACAGGAGGGGGACTCACGCACCCACCCTTATTTTGGCAACATGGTCCTATTTGACAGTGGCTGAATCCAGCTACGTAGTTGTATCATCCAGAAGCTTGAAGTTGAATGACTTTAATTTCTCACAGCTTGCGCCTTCATTTTCTAAGCACAACTAACGCACGATACCATAGCACGGTCAGATTGGACTCCCCACAATATGCAGAAACGTCATGAATCATCAAGTCCATCTGCTCATGAATTGAACAGACTCATTATAAATAACAAACGTTTAGCTAGCCCAATCATCATTTGTCTCTTTCATGTATAACTCTATTTGGAATCATTAGTATCAAACAGAGAGAGAGATCATGACATTTGACAAATAAACTGCATCATCAATTACAGTTCCGCCGTGTTTTGGTCTCGATTGGTGATGTCTGTGCAAGCTAAGGCACAGTATTTAACAGAATAAGCATGTCAGACAAGTAATAAAGAATCAAGTTATAAGAAAAGGGAGTATATTCTACCTTGGACGAGTCGAATATTTTTAAGATTGGCTTTGTGCCTAGATTCTGAGCCAAGAAGGGGGAGGCCAAAACAGTTTTGAACTACATGGATCAAGTTCCAAGGTCATGGTGCTACCATCACCTAGGTTGTACACTCGAACATCAAAAATATCAATGAAGAAAATGCAGTTTCCTGCATACCCAGCAAAGTCATTAGCGGAAACAGACAAGTTACAGCTATTTCCCAATATAAACACTCTGTCTTCCAAATCCTTCACATCCACCCATGTCCCCCACTCTTCATCCAATCTATAAACCTTAAAGTTCACAACCGAAGCTTCATAATATGGTCT